GTGTAAGCCCACCTGCCACGTCAAGGCAAACCTCTTAGGTGGGTCCTACACTAGCAAGGTGAATCATTAGTGTAGAATCCACCTTGGAGGTTTGACTTGACGTGGTGGGTGGGCTTACACCTTATGGCCATTGGAGAGACACAAAAAAACTCAATTTATTGATAGTGTGTATGTAACTCTTTTCTTTGGTTTACGTGACAATAGTTGTCAAAGGGACATGTAAAAAAAAAACTATTTTGCATAAATAAAACACTCAGCATTAAAAACCAATAAAATAAGTTGAACAATTTAGTTAATAAACCTCAAGAATTAAATCCATTTCAATAAATACAGTGTGTCACTTCCTTATAGTGATACAGCAAACCTTATAGCTGCAGATATGCTCTGTAACTGTAACAAAAATTCCACTTGATAAGAGGGCACCTTAAACTGTAGCTCTGATCTTCTGTGCTCTTATCTAAAGATTCAGGTTTCAACTCCAGCAGGACAGAAGAATACACAAGACATTTAACAAATAATATCACAATAATAGACACCACATACAAAAACCCATGGTTCCATAACTCCCGACACAAACCCAGTCTCACATAATCCCAGCCCAAGGTGGATCCAGTCTGGGGATAATGGAGGTCAAAAGTTTAAACAATAGTTGCCGAAGGGAAGGACAGAGTTCATGCTATCACACCAAGTATCCTAATAATGTGGCTTGCTCACTTGCTTTCGACATCTGGAGTTCACCAATGCAAAGTAGCCTATAAGTGAAAATGGGAATCAATATTGTTCAGTATATAACCTAAAACCTTTAATTAATTTTAGTATTCCTAATATAGCCATCCATAGAAAGCATCTACATGAATTAAATAGATTTCTAAATAATATTCCTCCCTTACCAGACTATCTCCTAGTCTCCAGTCCTGTTGAAAGTCACTTTAAAACTCATTTTTAGGCAGACATACCTCTCGTATCAGCAGAAGCACTTCATCTAAAAATTTTTTTTTAAATAGTTCGTTATTGCCGATAGTCGTCCATGCAATCGGGAACCTATTAGTGTTCTGCAGAACAATAAAAAGGATATAGCAGTGTTGTCCAAAGACGCCACTGGTTCCCCCTGAAAAGTTACCGAGATATCCAAGGGCATAAACCCCAAATAATGTAATACAAATAAAAGGAATAAAGTGGGGTGGTCACTCCCTCCGCTATACGCGGGTGGTTGTCCACTCCACCATGTGATATCTCTTTAAGAGTATAGAAATTTGTATGTATGGTACAACCTTTATTTAGCCAAATATATATACACAAACAAACTCCACAGTGTAAGAGAAAAAAATATGTGAACACCAAGTGGTAATATACCTTTAAAAGCTGGGTAGACTAATTGTGAAAAGCCACAAAAGATGTCGGAAGTATACTTATATAAACTGCAAAGCTTCCAGTGGCTTAGATATTTATAATACTTCAAAAATTGACAAAAAAATATATTGTGTGGCCAGAAATAATAAGTAGTATGACTAAAAGTGGAGATCACTCTATTAACAGGATAGGAGGCTAGTATTAGATATATATACCCCCACAGCACAGTATAATGCTATTCCTATTGAGGGCGTAGCATCTATGAGCAGGGTCTATATCAGGGCTGTCCAACCTGCGGCCCCCGGATGTTGCTGAACTACAACTCCCATGATTCCCTGGCTATCTTTTTAATTGAAAGAATCATGTGAGTTGTAGTTCAGCAACATCTGGGGGGCCGCAGTTGGACAGCCCTGGTCTATATAAAACTTAAACAGTCAGATTGTGTGTTAGATACTATATAAAGTATCAAGATAACACAGCAGATATTTCCTGAACCTGCTACACTTTAGATAATACTGTTGCAAGTTCCTCCTGTTTGTCTCAGAGAGCATTGGAGGGGGGGGGCAATATAGTGGGAGTTTTTCTGTCCATTAATTAGACAGGGTAGGAGAGAAACAGGCAAAGCGTGTATATCTGAGTAGAGGGTTAGCAGGATAGATTAGAGACACTGAACTGTATAACTATAAAGAAAAGAAATAATGAGCAGGTGCTTAGAGATATAGTTAAGGTGAATCTTCAAATATGTGTCACTTATAATAAAAATCGCCCACCCGTCAAAACAGGAACAGTGCTCCCACACCTTCGATCCTAAGTCCCTGCTTGCCATCTTCGATAGATGTCATTATTGGAGGGACATACTTGCCCCTCATTTTTTAACAGTGCAATTATCAGCATATAGTGGGTACATACGTCTACAGTGGAATTAGTACCTTTAGGGACACAAGACACACACAGTTCCCATAACTAAATACAACTTGGGCACATCAACAACCTGAGTGCCATTCACATAGACTTATCAGTCATAAGGGAATCAGGAAGATCGTTATACATAGAATTCTGTTGTGCATGTATACAGTATATAATAATGGGTCTATTTCAGCCCCATTTCAGGACTATACTCAGTAAATTAAAGCATGCACATTTTCCAAATGTACTTTGCTTCCGTCCCTTAAAGGTACACATAATTTATGTCCTATAAAAATTGGCAGGTTACAGTTGCATATACAATATAAACAGAATAAACTGATCAAAAACTATATACAAAGGGTTTATAAAGAAACCTGAACAAGCAGATTTAAAGTTAAATGTTAAAGGTAAATTTAACATTCAATATACACAAGATGTACACAAGATATTCTCTTACATAAACACTTGCTCAGAAGAATATCCTGTCTTCAGATGAATGGATAGAACATTCTTTCTGGCGTAATATTTTATCAAAATCCCCCCCGTCTTTGGTCCCGTTTAACCAATTCTAAGCCACAAAATCTAATCTCCCTAGATATACCGTCATGTTGTTCTTTTAAATGTCTCGAGATTGGAGTTTCTTTGGGGATCTCAGATGTTCTTTAATCCGTTCTTTGAACGGTCTAAAAGTCTTCCCCACATACATAAAATTGCAACTGCAAGTAAGAAGGTATAGAAGTCCTGCCGTGTTGCAATTAAAAAAAATGTGGGATCTCGTATTTTTTTCTCTCCATATTAAGTGTTCTGCAATGCAAAAATGGCTACCATATTGTCTAGCCTAATGGCTATGCACTATCACGCATTTTTTTCAATGGTCATTCTGAGTTGATTTTTATATCTCTGTGCAAAAAAAATAAGTGAGAAAACGTATAAGCTTTATAACAATTGATTGTTTTTCCATTTGCAAAAACGAGGATCAAGACTCTTTCTAATTTGAAAAAATTGGATTATTCAAAAGAATTAAGAGAAAAAGTCTGTCGGATTATTTCAATATTAGGAGGAGATATTAGCACTGATTATATGAATTTATGATTGATACTGTAGAACAGGGGTCAGCAACCAATGGCACGTGTGCCATGCGTGGTCATTTTGCACACACTAAAGGAATGCTAAAGACAAGCAGGCTCTGGCCTATCAAGAGTCCCAGTAGGACTTCAGATAACTGCTAGTGCAAACCAAGCAGTGATTGCAGGTTGTGAGGGACAATCCTCAATTTACACATTGCAGCACTTAGAAGAAGCAATCTCAGAACACTTCCTCTCAGCACTTGTGTTCAGGAATCCACACCATTGCAGTTATTCCAGTTCCTGCCCTTGACCTGTACCTGGCCAGCCCATTGTCCACTGAACCCCAGGAAAACCACCCACACTGCAAGGTATACACAGAGCTGGAGAACAAGCCTCCCCTCATACAAATAATACGGAGAGCCCACACACAAACACGCATTGGGTCCGCACAAACACAACACCACTGACAATCCACATACACACACACACAATCCCAGAAGCAGACTCTCACGTGCAATACTACCAGCAAACACACAATGTGATATATCATCCACACATAAATTCCCCAAGCAGCCCCCATACACAGCCTACATTCACAGGTATCATACACAATACCACAAACTACTCATGAACATATACACTATAACAGCCCACATACACACAAATAAAACGCTACCACCCATAAATAACACAAGCACAATACGGCACCTCAGATTTTAAAAAAATAGGACCGGCACATCATGGGACTTTAAGATCTTTTTTTGGAACAGTACTACTAAAAGGTTGCCTACCTCCACTGTAGAAAGGAATAGTAACAGAATAGTCTCTGGTTTAAATGTTGGAACTGTGCTGCAGCTAGATTGCAGACTATAAATAACCAAGTCAATTGTCTATTTAACAATGTAAACGTTCCTGTAATCAACCGCTGAAGGAGATCCCGCCTGTCTACCTTTACAATGTTTAGCCTGCGTTTTTTCTTCCAGGTCATTCATTGCAATGCTATCAGTGTGAATATGGAACCTGTCTAACACCATCTGTGACAACCTGTAATCTTCTAGAGTCCTGCGTGACATATACCACCACAGTCAGTAAGGAATACATGTTTTCTGTTCTTTCTCAGCATTTTATTACCTTATCAAGTATGGTGTGGAACTGCTGGGAATGAAATTCTTTCTCTGTGTTTCAGTTGGGATACCCATAAAGAAGAAAGGTTGTGTGAATCCTTTAGAGTGTTTTGCAGAAACCTCGGTTACATATCTTGGTGCAACTGTGAAAACTACTCCTTCCTGCTGTGTCACCAACCTCTGTAACTCTGCCGTCACCCCCGGACTGTCTGCTGTCACTGGAATAGCAGTCCTGGTGTCCTTGTGGTTGGCTAAACTATTCTGAGTTTGAGAAGATGTCCAATTTGTATTCAGAGGAACCCAGACAAAATGAAGATCAACAAACCACAATCTTCCATCCTTTGCAGACCACTTAGGGTTACTGCAAGCATCATTACTATTACAACTTGCTATAATGGTTCTGATGTCCGAAATACCCTGACCCAGGTCCCTGGTAATGGGGCAAACCGTTTAGCAATAGCATGCTCTCTTATCTAAGTCCCTGTGGGGCTCCGTTTAGCACTGATTTGCCATGCTGTATCTTCTTTTATTCTAATTTTTCGAGGCTTTTTAGAATTTCTCTCCCATGCATAGTATCCCTTCCTTAATCACAACTGATCTTCCTAACATTTCTCTCCCATGCATAGTATCCCTTCCTTAATCACAACTGATCTTCCTAACATTTCTCTCCCATGCATAGTATCCGTTCCTTAATCACAACTGATCTTCCTAACATTTGTCTCCCATGCATAGTATCCGTTCCTTAATCACAACTGATCTGCCTAACATTTCTCTCCCATGCATAGTATCCCTTCCTTAATCACAACTGATCTTCCTAACATTCTAGGCATCTCTATATAATTACTATTCACTGCCTAGTCCCACACTTCCCAACATTTCAAATGGACAAAGAGGGACACTTTACTTTTTGGGATGGTGGGGGGTGGGGTAGCCAGGAGCGGGACTATTTGGAGACATTTTAGGTAACTTACTAATGGCAATTTATAGAGCTAAAATGTAATTAAGAAAAACAATGTGTCTTATTAACACAGACTGATTTCTAAACACATTTTTTGTAGTCACATAACTGGGCGTATTATTGCTGTGGAGCTCTGTTATACAATCAGACACATTACTGGGAGTATTATTGCTGTGGAGCTCTGTTATACACTCAGACACATTACTAGGCGTATTATTGCTGTGGAGCTCTGTTATACAATCAGACACATTACTGGGAGTATTATTACTGTGGAGCTCTGTTATACACTCAGACACATTACTGGGAGTATTATTGCTGTGGAGCTCTGTTATACACTCAGACACATAACTGGGCGTATTATTGCTGTGGAGCTCTGTTATACAATCAGACACATTACTGGGCGTATTATTGCTGTGGAGCCCTGTTATACAATCAGACACATTACTGGGAGTATTATTGCTGTGGAGCTCTGTTATACACTCAGACACATTACTGGGAGTATTATTGCTGTGGAGCTCTGTTATACACTCAGACACATTACTGGGAGTATTATTGCTGTGGAGCTCTGTTATACACTCAGACACATTACTGGGAGTATTATTGCTGTGGAGCTCTGTTATACACTCAGACACATTACTGGGAGTATTATTGCTGTGGAGCTCTGTTATACACTCAGACACATTACTGGGAGTATTATTGCTGTGGAGCTCTGTTATACACTCAGACACATTACTGGGAGTATTATTGCTGTGGAGCTCTGTTATACACTCAGACACATTACTGGGAGTATTATTGCTGTGGAGCTCTGTTATACACTCAGACACATTACTGGGAGTATTATTGCTGTGGAGCTCTGTTATACACACAGACATTACTGGGAGTATTATTGCTGTGGAGCTCTGTTACACACTCAGACACATTACTGGGAGTATTATTGCTGTGCAGCTCTGTTATACACTCAGACCCATTACTGGTAGTATTATTACTGTGGAACTCTGTTATACACTCAGACACATTACTGGGAGTATTATTGCTGTGGAGCTCTGTTATACACTCAGACACATTACTGGGAGTATTATTGCTGTGGAGCTCTGTTATACACTCAGACACATTACTGGGAGTATTATTGCTGTGGAGCTCTGTTATACACTCAGACACATTACTGGGAGTATTATTGCTGTGGAGCTCTGTTATACACTCACATTACTGGGAGTATTATTGCTGTATAGCTCTGTTATACAATCAGACACATTACTGGGAGTATTATTGCTGTATAGCTCTGTTATACAATCAGACACACCAACAATAAGGAGCTCCTAGAAATGAGGGATATTAGGATAGAAAAGAGTGGCAGAGGGCCTAAAATAGGGACTGTTCCTTCTAAATAGGGACACTTGGGAGGTATGTTGTTTCATTTCTCATTGGCTCTTCTCACATCTTTTTCATTCCACGAACTGGTCAGTCGATGAAACAGATTTTCAACTTCTCTAGTCTTCTGTTTATAAAGTATTTTGTTATAAAGACTCTTGTTTATAACATTCTGAAAGCATATCCAATAGAGACAAATAAAAAAGTGTTTTTTGAGATTACTTCATTGTCTACTAATTACTAATCTTACTAGCGAATATATTTAAGGAAACTGAGTAGAGTTTGTTTAATGCATTTGACACAAAGCCACATCTAGACTACTTATTCCAGTACTGCAGTAACACACTTGGACAAGTGGGAACAGTTTATATAGAGTATCTGGTCTTGGACCTTCAGCCTGCAGTACTCTTTCTGGTGTCTAAATGCGCATAAGATTTAGTTAGGCTGCAGTGTCCAAGCCATTATTATTGCTATTAACCTCTTTGACAGAACATAACTTCCTTCTTAGGTTACGACAAGGCTGAGACAAGTCACAAGATCCCTCATGGTTTCCTGGACAAATAATGCTTTTGGACAGTACATGAAAAGTGCTGTGATATGTGTAATTTTGCACACTATGTCAATACATTTGAATAATCAAAGCAGTTCTACTAGAACTGCTTAGTGACTGGACTTGCTCTTGGAGCGCATTAAATTGACAGACCACAGAACCGAGCCTGGCAATCCTAGGTATGACAATGACAGAGTAATGTTAAATTACCGGGTTTTAGCAATATTTATGGTGTTAATTTAACTTAACGTTGTGGGGAATTGGAATGGCAAAATTCAGGCTAAATAACAGATCTGCAGAAATTGTCAAACGTCTGTTTTAGTCGGTATGCTTTAGCCTTTATTTTGACATTTAGAGACTGGGCATTTTGGACACGGGCACGGTCGGTATGAATGTAAGGCATACAGAGATGTGCAGAGAATGTAAGGCAGCCCAGGCAGCCACCTAGTGCAGTCTAGGAGAGGGAGCACAAAAACAAGCTCTAGTGGTTTCACTTGGCAGAGTGGGCACTTACCCGCTCAGCAGGTTTATGATGACCTATTGAGCACTTATTAGCCCTCCCCCCCCCCCAGCCACATTTATTTTTATATAAGAACATTTAAAATAAAGTAAAACCTTACATTGAATCCAAGAGTGGGACAACTTCTCTGCAAAACTTTCCAAGCCCTGTCTGTCATCACGCCGCATCACTGGTTCCTCTTAAAGGAGACAAGCATTGTTGAACCTTTGGCCCATACATGGCAAGTGTTACAAAAGAACCAATCATCTTCTTCTGATAGAGAAGCACTGAATCCAATTATTCTCTATTGGAAACAGTGAATGCTACATTGCTACATTCATGAGGGGTGAGATCAGCTAATTGAGAGCCCAACTCGCTGCTAAAGCCCATCCATTTTCCTAATCTTTGAGGAAGGGAAGGAAAAAGGGCTGCAAAGGAGGTAGAAGGTTGGGCAAGGGGAGGGCTGGGATTTACAAATCATTGCAAAGAAAAAAATTTAAAACATAATGCCAGGAAAAGCATGCGCTCCAAATCCAAAAGGTAAGGTTTATTCCACAAGGTACATAAACAAACAGGGGGAAGCAAAACCCCAAAAAACATATTCTTAAGTAAAGTACCCAAATTCACAAAAATTCCAATAAAAGTTTATTAAACAAAATAATGCAATTATCGGTGAGATAGCTCAAACCGTACCTGGAGATAACATGTAACAGAAAAAAAAAGCAAAAACAAGGTGAAAGAGTACTGAGAACGGACAACAGCTCAAATATCCTGCCCTTTGGTGGGTCCCATTAAGATCTCAAGCTGGTTTTAGCTTATCTTGTGCCATCGAAAGAGCACTTCCTGTCAGTCCTTCCAGTAACAGGAAACAGAAGCTCCTGTACTGCGTTCCGCTCAGCCACAATATATTGAGTGACTGTGCGCTTCCTTCCTGCCCGGTCACTCGACACCTGTGCTGCTTTATGGATGGACTGGCCTGACTGAAAAGCGCATATGCCAGGACCATCCCAGCAGAGTGAATTACCCGGACAGTCTCCAACTTGCCTAGATTGTTAGTAGCCAACTATACCATTAGCGATACAAAAATCATGGAGTGAATGTTGGCAGCTGTTAAGATAACTATAAATTACAAACAATGTGAACATATAACTGTCTCAATCAACATTGCATTTTGTACTTCTCAGAATCATGTATTTCATGCTCCTCTGTGTCTCTTTGCACCCGCATTCCCAGCTCCTCTGTGTATATCTTTCTTCCCCTAGCTCCTCTGTGTCTCTTTGTCTCCCCCCAGCCCCTATGGGTGTTTCCCTCCAGGCCCTCAGTGTCTCTTTGCCCACAGCCTCTCTGTGTATCTCTTTCTCCCCAGCCCCTTCTGTGTGTCTTTCTCTGCTTCCCAACCACTCAGTGTGTCTCTTTCCCACAGCCCCTGTCTCTTTTGCTCCTTCCATAGCCCTTCTTTCTTTTGTGCGCCTTCTTCAATCCCTCTGTATGTCTCTTTCTCCCCCAGCCCCTTTTGTGTGTCTCTCTGTTGCCCCCACAGCTCATGTCTGTCTCTGTTTCCTTCCTCCAGCTCCTGTCTGCCTCTTTTACCCCCATCCAACTCTGCTTTGAGGTCTCCCTCTGTGTCAGCTCACCTCCCTCTTGTAGTGTGCCTGAGCCACTGTAACGGAACTCCCCCGTACTCCAACCGAGTACCTTCCGTTGATGGACGCTTCCTAGCCTGCGCCGAGGACCACAAACGCCGTCTTCGTCCACCCTGGATCAACTTCTGTCCTCTAGGACTGTGTGGTGAAGACCTCTCCTCCAGGAGAGCATAACAGGAACAAGCTCTTAAAAGAGCTAAGTGATTAAAGCTCCGGGGAGTATGCAGAGCTTAGCAATCCCCAGTGTGAGTATAGCTGTCCCCTCCAATCACGAGACAAGACTACGTGTTGAGGGTGAAGATGAACTGTTTTACTTGGCACCAAAGGGCCTTCTTTTATGCAGGTTTTCCACACATAGTACCACCCACAGGGTTTTTCAGAACAACCAATAAACACATTACAACACATACAATGCAAGTACAGCAGCCAATCAGACACAATGGGACAATAGAAACACACCCATCATATTTCTCCCCTGTGCTTAGGAGATAATTGAGTCAATTACTGTATCTACTCAATTATCTCCAAGCTGAAAGTTTACATCATACATACATGAAACTTATATTATTGTAACCAGTATAACGTGGGGACACACATATCCAAAATTCACTTGAATAGGTTCAGGGGTTTACAAGTTAGGTTGAAGTCCTTTGTTTTCACTTGCAAGCATGGCTTTTCCTGCCAAAACCAGTAACCACTGGTCTGGCAGTGTCCCTGGGACAACGCCCTGCTGGAGAACAATGGAGCTGGGGGAAGGGAAGAGCCACACCTTCCCAGGGATTTAAAGGGGAAGAAAAAGTGTCCAAAACGTTTCAATATGTCCATACACTGTTTTTAAAGGGCCAGCACCATACAATAAAAGTCCATAAGCCCAAA